TTTAATTTTGGTCGATAGCCAACCGGGAGAAAAACGCAACCAAAACATTTTACCTTTAGTATATTTTAATTTAAATAAATTACATTTTATAAATTTCATTTTAACAGGGCTAATTATGAAAAGTGTGGGTGTCGTCAACTAATACATATTATTTATCGAAATCGTTCACACGACAGTCGGGTCTACGTAACCGGAACGACCCAGATTTATATTTGGCCAAGGACTGTCACTCCAGCAACACTCCCCAAAAACACTTTGGGGAACTTGTATGCTGCTACAACAACAACAACAACTTTATTGAAATAATTAAAATTTCCTCGGTCATATGTTATTTGTCAATGTTATTTGTCTTACCTTTACTCGGGTCAGCAATAAATCGGAAAGGGTCCATTAATAATATTGTTTTTTACTGTTATAACAACATATCCAGGGTTTACATATATTCAATGCCCTCTATCGGCAATTTGCACAAAACTAGTTTCTGTTGTTAGAATCCATTTCATCATTAATAGTAGATTATTCCAAAAAGCGATATATAAGTTCAACATTAAGATCATCGGTTTTTTTTAATGATCTAATGTTTGTTAAAATTGTAGATAGAGGGTATTTAACATAAATATGTAATATTATTTAGGCACCCAATTAAAAATTGTTTCTAGGACATATCATTACAAACGAAATCAAATTCATATCCCCGATATACATAACTCAGCCCTTTTTCAGATCCAGCTGGGAAATCCATTGATAAATCCACCAAGCCTTGTGCTTGCCAAATTTTGGGATTCTGAAAAAAAGAAAAGGAAAAAATCTTGGCGCTTTTCTAATAGAGATTACTCACCATTTTTTGCACTTCATCCTCTAAGCCACTCATCATGTAATAGATATGTAATGCATGATTTCTATCCTGTTTCTTGAGTACATCCATTATTTGATAAAGCAACTTTCCATCTATATTAGGACAATAACTAACGTCCAAATGTTCTAAGTGTACACATCGCTCGACGAAATGTAGAACGTGGTCATTCGTCAAATGTTGCCAATTTCTCAAACTAAGATACTCCAAGCAGTTCATTATGTTAGCCAAATTGAGCAGTGGATCGGGTGATAATTCACAGCTACAAAGGCAGAATTTTTTTAACTTACGGCCACCCTGCCACAGATTCAAATTTGAAGCCCAAGCAGAATCCAACGGAAAATAATAAAGATCAACTGCTAAGCCAATTATACGCTCACCTTGATTTTTTAATACATCATGGAATTCTACTGTTTCGTATATTTTAAAATCATGCGTATCTACATTCAGAATACTTCCAACGTCGATCTCAGAATCCAGCATTACGTTGAGTGATACTAGTTTTGGCATCAGCAGGACTTGAGGAAGACATTTTTTAAGCGGATGTAGATTTACTTTAAGAACTGCTAAATTCTCACAATTCAACACAGGTGTCAAATCCAAATGACTCTTACCGTCATATCTGCGCACATCTAAAATTCGCAAATATTTTAAACGGATGCAGATTGCCTCAAAATGGGTATTTTCAATTTCCAGAACGTTATTTGATGGCACGTACAAATACAACTCCTCCAACATTAGGAAATCACAAACATATCGGCCACTTAATGGTTCTCTCAGATGCAGTGAGAGAAGGTTTGGAACAGTTCGTACGAGTATCTTCATATCGCTGTCAGTAATCATGCTATAAAACGATTTTTCCTCACCCTCAAAATGTTGTACACTTGGCAGGCAGACCGTGCTACTGATAGGTGCACAAATTTCCTTTGCTTTTAAAATTTGCTTTATGTTAAGCAAAAACTTGTTTAAGGTTTCATCGCCAATCACTATAGACGTCAAGCTAGTACGTACTGAATGCAAAAAATATGTTAGATCTTGTATTTCTGGCAGCCAACCGAACCATTCTGATAAATTAAGTGTTTGATAGCATTTCTGGGAGCGCCACATACGCCTGATGATCGCTTCGAAGCGTTTGCAAACTCGAGAGATTTGAACCTGATTGCGAAGTTCTGGTACATTATTGAAGATATTCACCAAACAATCATCGTTTAAAATATCCATTTTTATGCGTATGATTTGGAATATATAAAAACTGATACAAACAAAGATCACTAATTAGTCCTGTGCAAATTTGTAGCTTCCTTTATACGCATATTTGTATATCAATCTTTGTTTATGCAATTACAAGGCAGAGAAGAAATAAACATAATACATACTTATAGAATCATGATACTTATATACATACACACATATATGCTTTAATAATCTTTATGCATGCATTAGAAGAATATAGAGCTCTGTGATACTTGCCGCTCAGCTGATAGCTGATGCTAGCGCTGCTGGACAATTTTAGTTTAGATAATTGTTAACTTGTATAAGCTTGTAAAAATATAAAAATCATGAAATATATTGTATATACATACATAAATGTATGAACATAAGAACTAAGATTTATTATATTTAAGTACCTTGATACAGATTTTCGAATATACAATTTTGTAGTAGGAACTTCTCGAATTGGTAACAATTGTACAAATTGTTATTTATCGCCAACCTTTGTAAACTTCTTTGACAATAGAGCCGGAAAAACAAACCATCCTGAACTGCAAAACACTCGATGAAACTAACTATAGTATCGATGTTTCATTATCGATTGTTTTTTGCCACTATCGACTTGTGAACCAAGAATGATAGGTGTGATGTGTGTCCATGAACCAAAAATACAAGATCACGTAAGAACGCGACGTTGTATTTGTAACTGGTTTTGGGAAAAAAGTTTGCGAAAACGGGTTCGTCAGCTGAGCATTTGTTTACATCACAAGCACCACTATTTTACACNTATAACAGTCCTCCCCGGAAAAGCAAAAACAAAACACATGTACATTTTGTTATTGTTGTACCGATACCACCATGATAAAAACATAGTAAGTTAACATGGTACAATAATTATAGGTATTGTCTTCCCAGAGAGCGCATATTCCGATCTGCCTTATTTGAAAAACATCATTGCCCACAATAAATGGTTTACTGCCAGGGAAAAGGGATACTTCCATACCCCATACATATATGGTATACAAGTATTTTTTTTAAACAACCCATCTTGTAGAGGACTTATTTAATTTGCAAAAGCCGATAAAAACATTTACTTCGTAAGCAAATTAAAAATTTGTGTGGCTGACTTCATTTCAAACGTTTTTCTTTTGTTTTGAAAAATTACAAAAGTGAAATTGAGCGAAAACAAGAAGCGAAGCCAATATAATTAAAAGAATCAAGAAGCAAAACTCTCTGCGAAGACAATACCTGTAATTACCCTGCAAAAATCGCGACTACTCCATGCATGCATGTAAAGAGTACTCCCGAAGGACCAAGGAGTACGCCAAAATTAACCACAATTCATATAAAAAATATGGTCCAATTAACATTGCGATGTCCTAGGGCAGGACCATATACTCCATCCCTGCATTACATCAGAGTAGCACAAAACTACTCCAACATATTAACAATGGCATTGTTGTTATATTTTTTCGTTTGTACACGCTTTTGTTCTTCACTTCTCATATGCTTTTTCGAAATTAATAAAACCCAAGACAAAAATTAAAAATTACATGTTGCCTCTGACGGCATTTGAACTCGAACATGCTGGGAGCTCACAACTAACAGCGAGCATCTCTACACGTTCAGCTACAGCCAGACATGCAAATGTGCTTTCAAATGCTCAACTTCAATCACATTTCGTTAAAACACGAGCAGTTATCGGGTAACAAACAATAAGCTGGCGCAGAGACACGAGTTGGTCCGCTACAGCATGACAGAGGAGCACTTTTGTAAGTACTCCAATATACCACAAATAGACTACATGGTCCAACGATTTTTGCAGGGTAGGTGCGTTCGTTTAAAATCTCCAGTAAAAACAAACCAACTGCCAAATTCCGGCGAAATGTCATCTGTTCTCTCACAAGAGAGAAATATCCAAAATAGTTCGCGAACAGAAAATTTGCAGAAACTTGCAAGTTAGACGAACAGCTGATATAATTTTTGTTTACATTGAAAAGTGTAAAATTTAAAACGTACCAAAAGTTATCACAAAGTGTTATACTGACACAGTTTATTGATTCAACAAATAACTACTTATTTCTTACAAGTTTAATTAGCCGCATTTTGTAATTTTTAGCTTCCAAAAGATCAAATTCAATTTTGTGATTTGCGTAAATGCCAACCAGCTGTTTTTGATCAGCTGTTTTCCTGTTGGTAAATTGCTGTTGGCAAAAATTTTTCCAGCAGAAACCAGCAGCTCCCCTCAAAATGAAATGTCACTTTGCTCTCTCAATTTCCCCTACTTTGCAAGTTTTTTGCGTACACGAACGCAAAAGCTTGTAAGTTTTGGTTAAACATGAACAATTAACAGCTGCGCGAACGCAACTATTATCATGATCCAACTACACGTCACACAACTACGAATGTCACACACTTTTTTCTCAATTGCTATTACAAATCGCTGCTTCTCAACCGGTCAGATCTGTTCTAATTGGTTCATGTGCAAAACCTGCTATTCGTACTGCTGCTGGAACGCAACTATTGAATCATGATGTACGGCCACTAAAATGCAACGCTGCCTTTGGCATTTTAACTTTTTCTCATGTTTTGTATGTTGAATCATGATGTAGGGCCACTAAAATGCAACGCTGCCTTTGACATTTTAACTTTTTCAATTATTAAATTATCCATGATAAAAATATAGTAAGGTAGAACCGCTGAGAGTCACTTTTAAAATTCTTGACGTTTCCAAACAATTTAATTTTTAAATTTTCTCACAAACTCACACACACATTTTCATTTTCAATCTCAAGCAACGACAATTTCGAACAATTTCATTTTTTTATTTTCACATTTATATGATTTTAAAATGTTGGCAAACTTCAAAAAAAAATCATGGCCGACAAATTGAGAGAACGGTTATACCTTGCTATGTTTTTATCATGAAATTATCTTTAGTTTCGCCTCGTCAAAATAAAAGTATTTGGTGGTGCAAAATATCTAATAACAAATAAAAAATATCCAAAATTCTGTTTGTCATATATTCCTGCATCACCATCCTCAATTCCACAACAATTTCTTTATCAGCATCAGGAGCTGCGTCTAGCTGTACATACGCCAAATAAAAATGGAGACCACGGGAATAACTTTACAATTAGGCCAAATGCTGCTGGTCCAAACCGCCAGTGAATTATTAACTGGTACATTAAAGTTCGTTGATCTAAACCGTAAAATAATAGAACTAGAAAACGTTTATGATCAGCGCTCGAATTGTCGATATAATTCGCCACAAATTCTGGCTTTTCCTCAAATTAAAAAACTGCAAATTATACGTGACGACGAGCCTTCGGATAGCCCAAATAGTAGCAACACTTCACCTACAACATCCGAAGTTAATCAGGAGAGTCACACCAGTTATAATACAGCGCCTAAGTCCCCAATATCGTCGCCTGAACTCAAGAAACCACTGCGACAGGAAAGCGATGTTTCGCTTAGCAGCAATGAATTGGAATTAATTCATGAGCAACTCAATGCTATAGTGTGCATCACACAAACGGACCAACGCTATCACAAAGCGCTAGCCGATATACGTGTACAACCGGTAGTTGCCCTTATTATGGAGCCAGTGGACTTTGGACGGGCACATCGCACTTCTGTGCTGACCGTGGCCACTTTCAAAATGGTGTACATATTCGATATAATCGCTTTGGGCAGTATTTTCCGGGAAATGAAACAATTACTAGAATCAGAGCGTCCACGCAAAGCGGTACACTACAGTCATAGATTGGTAGACCACTTGAAAAATCGATATGGCGTTAAACTTGGTGGTGTATTCGATACATTTGTGGCCGTTTCACTTGTGCGCGGTGTAAAACAGCCAATGACGCTAATTGAAGCAGTAGGGCAAGTTTTAAATATAACACATCTTTACTTTCAGCCTGATGCAGTCGAAATTGTGAGTACAAAATTCAATTAAAATAGACTTACCTTAACTACATTGTATTTTGGTAGAAAACTTACGATCCATATAAACGTCCGCTTTCCGCTGAGATGTGCCAAGTGTTAGCCAAAAAAGCTATATTCCAATTAAAGCTACATGAACACCTGCTCCATAAGCATATGCTGAAAAACTTTTACAATCAATGTGAAGTTTTTTCGCAAACATTTTGCGAAAATGAAGATGCGCCGTTTCAGATGCAACGAGAAAGTCGTGCAGGATTTCAGCATATAAAACGCAGTCCCAACGAGTTTGCTTTTAAATTTAATGATCTCAAGTAATTTTAAAAGTATCCTAAAAAGCAGTAGACCCACAATAGACCTCTTGATCACAGTGCACATTCCTTCTGATGCCTACTTGTCTACCTATTTTAATAGTGTATACTATTATTTGAACTCTGCGTTCAAAAGGGCTTTTCTGGTTGTTACCGAACAATTTGTAACATAAAAATTTAAACATTTTATGTATTAACAAAAACTAAAAGGGTTTGTTAGCAGCGCAGAATTGACCGGTAAATTAACAGTTTTATTACAAAATGTTTGGTATGCATAAACATAAGGGCGAAACACGTAATACTTTATTGAACCTGCATGGCATAACAAAAGGGGCACCCATAAATCACGTGATACCTTTTTCCAACCTATTTGACCACCTTCCCCGATAGGGATTCAAAGTAATATTCCAAAGAGTTTTTTTATCGTAATATAAAACTGTCCAAAAATTTATTTTAGTGGACCAAAATAAAATATATAAAAAAAAAATAAAACATTAATTCATTAATGTAATGGTAACAAAAATTATAGCAAATCATGTTCGCCTACGCTATTGCAAGATGGTTGATAGCAACCATTTGACAAACCCGTCTGCCTATAATGAGCGCTGGATTTATGGAAGTAGTAACATATCAGAACGCATGTAAAGAGCTCTTTCGCCAATTGTATCATTTTTAAAAATTTTATGAAATTGTAAACAAAGTTTTATATCGTAAATTGTATGGAAAGAGAACATTTAGGCCACTGATGTCAGTTAGGAATTTGAACATTTTGCCCAAACATTTTTTACCTTTAGTTAAGGTAAAACAAACCTCATAATATCCTATAATTTCCTTAGATGGAAAGTTAGTGCATGACAATATTTGTAAAATGTAGTAACTAAGTATAAATGCTGACTGACTTTACTACCATTATGTACCCACAGCAAAACAGAGGAAACTGAAAAATGATATTGTGCTGAAGGGACCTTTGTTCTTTATTTTAATTAAGTATCACTGAAAAGGAGTAATTGCAGAAAACGGTTAACACTTCAAATTATTTAAGTGTGAATAATGACTTTCCAAATGAGGAGCTGCATGTGGACGTATGTACATATATGAAGCTTCTTCACTTTTCCCACTAAAGTTATAAACAATAAGAGCAAAACTTAATTGTTCATTACAACCGCTCACTTAGATGAAACGAATATTAAATTAAATATGTAAGATATGATATAAATTGAAGTAATACATCACTTATAAAGGCGAAATAAGATTTGTAATTCTTACTTGTCGCCTACTAAAGGTTTGTATAGTAACTTCTCCAGTAAAACATTGCAGCGAGAGCGTAAAAGCGATATAGAGCGTAAAATTGAGAAGAGAAACCCAGCTGAAGAAGTTATTGAACACAAAACTAGTAAAAATTTGCAAGTGAACAATTGTTGCACCGTTTTGACATTCCGCTGTAAACATTTTACTATTTATAAATCAGTTTTAAACTCTTTGCTTTACACACAAGCACTTATACAGTAGAGTACATCATTAATAGCTCTGATCCAATACTTTTCGTGAAAAATCCTGTAAAACTGTCAAACAGCAAAATTACTCTCTGAAGTGAGAGTAAAAAGTGAGTAACAACAAAAAGTACGGGAACAAAAAAACCAGTTTTCCTGTAAAAACGTCAACCAGTGATTGCTTGACACCTTTCATGATTTTACCAGAAGAAAAAGTTCGGGCAAATCTTGCAACTTCATTCTCTACACAACTCTCCAAAAGTCGGTCTCATTTACAGGATTTTGGAGGATTTCGGAGTACGGGAACATTTTTCCTGCAACTTCCTGTAAGTTTGTGTAAAATCCTGTAAGTTCATGGAATACTGGATCAGAGCTAATATTTTGATTTCCACTCATTTTACTTTTATTTGTGCTAAACCAATTCAACAATTCTTCTTCTGCTAGCTAATTTCTGCTTTTAGAAATTTCACTAGCAAGAATTTACAGCTCTCCCGTGTTGCTACGCTCTCGATTCAGTGCTCTCATGCAAATTTGTTGGGTTATCATACACTTTTCCAGTAAAAATTTGCGGGTTCCAGTAAAAATTACTACTGACTATTCGTTACTATACAAACCTAATGTTAATATGGTAGGTTATATACTTCACTTTCTGCTTGATATTACTAACGTTGTTAGTACATGTTGTTTGTTAATGTAGCATACATTTTTATTTTCAGCTAAAATATTTAAATTAACAAATCGCTACTATGAATGCAAAAAAAATTGTTTTAAAATATAGGAGAAGCAAAAAACCTTTTAAATTAACATAGCAAATACTCTCAGGGAGCGCCTAGATCGACTGGCCCCTCAATCGTTGTCGTCAAGCTCAACTAACGGGAGAACAGTGTTGGCAAAATGTTAATCTGATTAAGGATTAAAATGTTAATCGCGATAAACGATTAAAATTAATTAACCGTAATCTGTATGATTAATGATTACATTTTTTTAATCGTAAATCGTCGGGTGTAATTACGATTAGTTAATTTTAATCATTAATCGTTAATCCAATTTAAAAAAAAAAATCTGATTAAGTGGTCTAGTTTGTCCGAATTTGAAACCAAACACGGGTTATAGTTACTTTTTTGTGTTTCACGCTTATAAAAAATACATAATATATAAAAAAAAATAATGATTATTATTATTAGTAATACATAAAATGGGAATTTTCATAACCCATCGCACATGTGCAGAGCGATATTAAAACCTAATTTGCTTAGCGTCTGTTAAAATAGATCTTAATGAAAATGCGCGCCAAATTGCTTAGATTTATGAGGAAAACCGACTTTTCCTTACCCGATTAACTGGCCTTGTGTGCACAGTAAAATTCCAGCATAAATAATTAATCACCAAACCTACTTAATCAAATTAAGGGTTAATTAAAAATTACTTTTTTTTATCGCGGTTACGATTAGCTGTTTAATCAGAATAAAATTAATCATTTTTAAGTGTAATCTGATTGAATTTCTAATCTAATCTAATTAACTCATTGATTAAAAAATCAATCGTTTAGTGCAATCCCTGCGGGAGACCCAGGAAGCGTGGAACTTCTATGGGGTTTTTCTATAATGACAGAGGCGTTAGCTGAGTGGGGTTTAGGGGCATGCAAAGAGATGTCTCGAGCCTCTAATTTGCTCAGGTACGAGTTAAACCTGCTGCAGTAGCGTTTTATGATATAATGCGGTGAAAAAGAAAATCTTTAACTTAGTGAATTTTATTTTTCACTTTATCATTTAATTTTTTCATATTGAGCGATTATCGATCATTAAAGGCTTTTCCATAAAAGTCTGTGAAATAATAATTTGATAAATTATTACACTGCACTTTGGGCCAGCAGCTAATCAAAAGTTGCGAAAATTAACCGAAATAAAGTTCTGAAATTGTTTGAATGGACTAGACTATCTAATCATATATAAATAAAGGAAACCGTGCCCCACGATTCAAATGAATTCTTCTACTATTTCCTTGCAGGCAGATACTCAAACTTTGAAAAGCTCTGAAAATCGCGTTCCGGCTCTTTGTAGAAAATAAATTGTAAAGGTAGTTATAAACCTTTTATCATTATTTTTCTTCAAAAGAATGCTAATATTTTAAATTAAGGTTATTTTAACCTTAAACTGACTCCTACGCTTACAGGAAATATATAAAACTTAAAATTAATAAAATTTTTAGCACCCGAAGTTGTACTAAATATACATTAACCTCAATTGGGGAAACTTACCATTATGGTCGTTCGTTAAAGGTGCGGTGGGCGAAGGGGGAGTGGGCGTGGTACCTCCAACCGACCTTTTTGGAGAGGGCATGAACCGCCATTGACGAAAATGCAACCCCCGACCACCTATGCCCCCTATAGTTCCCTACGGACCCCTTAGAAAAATGGCCAAAAATCGCAATTTTTATGCCCTTAGACGGTTTCGTAAAAATTTAATAATTTTTTTTTAAGTCTTCCGCCATATTGGGTCCGCTATTTTGAATTTTCCAAATCTGACTTCAGTTCCGTAATCAGTGAGCCCGAAAAACCCCCATTGTATGAGGTCTCATTAAAATCGATCAATGGTTTTAAATATTCGCTACTTTTGATGAGCAGCTGGCCCATAATGCATTATAGGTAAAAGTTCAAATTTGGAAATGACACAAAAAATGCCCAGACCCGTAAACTTAATATTGGGTCGTAAATTATGGATCTGTATACCTTTTTTCCTGATCATTTTCCCAATATATTTTCATATATAGATAAAGAAATGTACATAAGTTTTTACTCGTATAATGAGGCAAATAAATTTATTTTCCCAAACTAGGGGCCGATTTCAGATGAACAATTTAAATGCCGGTTGATGGTTAAAAAACATTTTTTTTATCGATGTCGCCTATTTAAATATGGAAAATGCAACCCTGATTTTCAATACGAAGTCATATTTAACGTAAATGCCAGTTAGTTTTTGATTGGAAACTTATCCTAAGTTATTCTCAATTAGTAACTTTGAATAGGCCATATGAAAGCATGGATTATTATTACTTTCTTTTTAAGCTCGGATGAATTGATTTAGTTATTTTTTTGAAAGAAAAACTATTTTAGTTAAAAATGCGTTATATTTTTTTCGATGAGATTATATTTCAATTGTAAAATTAATGTAAATTGAAAATACTGTGTATGTGTAATAATAAAAATATAAAGGAATAAAAAACAGCTTCGCTGAGTGTATGAAATTTCTACGTGCTACATTAGGTGTAACTTATTTTAATTCAACTCAACATACTTAAAATATGCGAAAATCAAGAGACTTTAAATTTTTTTTTAATATCTTCAAAATATTTTCAAAATAAAACTATCTTAAACCTCTCTCTTGTGATACTTTTTCATATTTATCTACATGTAGTTTAGAAATGAGGCTATTTCAAAATCATTTCGATTGATTCCCATATTGTAATAATTTATTGAAATGTTTGAAAATTTTCTATTTTAATTTTTAAACCGTTAATTCCTAACTTTACGTGTTCAAGCTGAACATTTCTAATTTTGACTCGACCTTTCAAACAGGTTGCAACCCTCTTCGAATTATTTTCCTAATAAACCCTATTAAATCCCTCTTGTCTGACGTCCATATTGTGATTATTCAAACAGGTGGCAACCCTCCTACATATAGTTCAGAACTAAAACCTTTATCAAAAGCCTTTCGATTGGAAACCATATTGTAGTAATTCATTTAAATTAAATTAATTAAATTTTTAAACCGTTAATTCCTAACTTTACGTGTTCAAGCTGAACATTTCTAATTTAGACTCGACCTTTCAAACAGGTTGCAACCCTCTTCGAATTATTTTCCTAATAAAACCCTATTAAATCCCTCTTGCCTGACGTCCATATTGTGATTATTCAAGCAGGTGGCAACCCTCCTACATATAGTTTAGAACTAAAACCTTTATCAAAAGCCTTTCGATTGGAAACCATATTGTAGTAATTAATTTAAATTAAATTAATTTAATTTTTTCAACGGGTGGCAACGCTTGTAAATTTTTAATATTTTAAATATTCGCTCTGAAGGTTTCTTCGCAATCTTTCATTTGACGCCCATATATTATTTTTTCAGATAGCTTGCGAATAATTAATTTAAATTTGGCTTTTCGAACAGGTGGCAATCCTTTCCAAAATGCTCTCAAACTACAACTTTTTTAAGCCTCTTGTAATCCATTCTTTAATAAAATTTTCAAATAAATAATTCCCTTAATTCAAGTCGATTTCGATTTCTTAAACAGGTGGCAGCCCTCCGCCATGAGTATGGAATTGATTTTATATACATATACATATGTATCTTTACCAAGTTCCCATGATTCAATATTTAATCATGCCAAGTTCCTATTCTCTATCAAAAATATTTTATGAGCTATGATATGCGGCATGATAATTCCGTTTTATGGGATGTGCCACGCCCCCTCGTATAATCGAGATTAACAGCCTTATCATGAGATTCATTTTCCTCGAACCGGTTCACTTTTGGTTTCCATAGTTTTACTATAGGCGGAAGACAAATTTCGGGTGAATTTTTTTTCGGGCGAAACTCAGAATAAGACAGTAAATCTATCCTATATTTTAAGTTGGTCTAAATGGCACCAGTGTACAAAATTTAATGGGAAACGGTTGAGCAGTTAAAGCGTAACAAATAAACAAACTCAATTTCGGATTTATAATATTAGTAAGGATTTAAATAATTTATATTTACTTTTTTAAGTTATGTGAGTTCGAATAATTTCATAGCGTTATGTATGTATGTCACTAGTGTCCAGGGCTGTCAATTTAGATCTTTTCCCGTCAAATCTAGCTTTTTCGAAGTTGATTTAGCGGCAGGAAATGAGAAATCGCGGAAAGCGGGTAATACAGCTTTTTGAGAAATTTGTTGGCGGATTTTTAGCTTTTTCCCTTATACAATATAGTACATGCATATGTATTTAAAATTACCAGATAATTTCGATACGATTAAAAAAGATA